CAACATTCTGTACAAGGAGTATTCTTGATCTGAAATAAAGAAGCAGCTGGTTTTCAAACAGTTTTCAATGTATTACTCAACTTACATGTACAGTCCGCCATGCTGACACGAATGGCGCCAATGGATAGTTCTAGAATCGACCTCGGCCCCATTGGATACAGTAAAAAGATCTAACATGACCTTATATAATTTTCGTATCCACGATCAAATTTCTTTCCTATTATAAAACTTCGATTAGACTGCTGAAAAAATGGAATAAATACATCATTGACTCAAAATAATACATCAATAAACTTTATCTCACGGATGCTGTTCACAACAAAGTTTTATGGGAGAATTGACTTCAAGCTTTATTTTTCCCAGATATTTCTATTACATTCATCTGATGTCTGGGTTTTTTGTTATTGCGAAGACAATATTTCTATATCTCTTTATGTGTTACACAGACAGACTATTTTGTAGACTGTTCCGACTGACTGTAATGTCAGAAAGAATAAACAAACTGTAAATTCAACATACATCGAAACATGTGTAATTTATATAATAACTTATCCATGCCTGTACAATTGGTATGTTCCTGCATAAACAGGAATAAATATATATACATCACTCTTCTTCACTTCTTTATTCAGTACCATATACATTGAATTCAGCTTCTCCTTCTGTTGTCCACCTTTGCATTGGGTCATCTCTTTCACCATCTTCCTCTCCTCGATTGGTTTCCAGGTAGATTTTCATTGACGGCTATTCCTTGCCCTGTCTCTCCTTTCTTCCTAGAACAGTTGTACACGTTTCCTTAAATATCGCTTTCAGAGAGTTCCAATGTTCTTCCACGCAGCTTTCTTCAGGGATGTCACGTAATATCTCCAACTTTGCTCTGATATCTGTAATGGGGGCATTCCTTGTGGTTTTGTCCTTCAATTTCTGAATGCTGAACCTGGATTGCAGTGGCCTGTCTACAGTTGATTTAAGGGATTTCAGCTTCACCTTGAAAGTTCCTTAAAATAGATGATAGTCTGAGCCAACGTCTGCTCCCCCTCTCGACTTTGTGCCCGGCAGGCTGTGTCTCCACTTCCTTGAGACTGATATGAAATCTTTTTCGTTTGTAGTATGTCCGTCAAGTAAAATCCATGTTTCCTCGTGTATATCCTTGTGCTTGTGAAGACTGTCTCTGATCACCAAATCATTGAAAGAGCAGAAGTCTGCGAATAATTCTCCGTTCTCATTCATTTCTCCAAGAGCCTTTAGAACCATGATGAGTTCGCCTCCTGTATTATCTTCTCCCAGTTTGGCTTGTATTCACATCGCCCATGAGGATTTTGATATCACTATTTGGCTTATGGTCCATTACTGTTAGTAGTTGTCTGTATAACTCTTCCTTCGTTTCTTCTTCCGCGTTGTTTGTAAGTGCGTAGCATTGGATAATTGTTACTTTCCATCCTTCCTTTGGAGTTGAATCTTGCTGTCATGATCCTGGATGAAATTGGTTCCCACTGAATTAGATCTTTGGCTGACACTGGTGACGTTATGATAGCAACTGACTACCTCAATGTGCTTGTGGCTGTCATCTGGGTGATCAGACCTGAGTAGATTATCTACTCTCCAGTTAAAAATTTTGACAATCCACAACCATTCCGTCTACTTTCTCAGATGCCCAGTACTTCTAAGCCATATCTTCGCAATTCTATGGCTACCTGGTGGGCCTACCCAGTCGGCTTCATATATTGTACGGACATTCCAAGTCCCCAAGCTTTATCTTGCTTTCATCGAGAGAAGACACATCGGCTGATTGGGTTCTTGAAGGCTTTCGCCAGCCCACTGTGTCATTTCCTCTCTCTGATTCGACCGAAAAATACAATTTCAATTTGAACCTTTTGTATTTTTAATATATTTTCTGTGTGCTGAAATTTCTCTAGCGGTTCGAAAGATTTAGTGGTGTGGGGTTACTAGCCCCTTGCCCATACGTCCCTGTTTCCCCGGGCTTGGAACCCGCTGGAAAACTAGTGAACTAGTTAACTAGGTGAGGATAGGTTTCCTCTCTTTGAAGTAACCACAGTATATTCTGCTCTTCTCACATAGAGAGGCCTTGCGCTTAAGCAGTGAGAATGGGCGCTAGGCAGGATAGTGATGTATAAGTCCCCACTCCTCCTTGCTGATCTCATAATGTAACGGCAGAAGACAAGGGCCAGGCAACAGATCGTTTATTGAGAAAATCAACGGGTATATCTAGATTTTTATGTGCCTTACTATTAGCGTTATTGTTAGCGGAGAAGCAACCTCTTATGAACGGTCGTTTTCTTGCTGAAGATTATTCTGTTATCTCTTTACAGCCGTTTTTCAAAAGATTCAAGTCATATTTCTGTGAACCATATTTTCATGCTTTAAATTCGCTGTTATTGGCTGATAATTTTCTTAAGGTTAAGCTTTGTGACTGTTTTTCTCAGGACCCTGATTCGGGATGCGAACACTGAAGTAAATTGTCTACAATTTTGGCTTGCAGACAGCTCTCACCACAATAAGTTAGCTGAGATCACACGTCCCCACACGAGGTAGTTACATACTCAACACTGTACAGGTCAAAGTAGTGCTCTGGGTGGACAAATGGTAGTTGCGATTATGTCAATCAAATTCAGGCTATCTAATCTAAAGGAATCCACCTCTGCAGAAGTGGAGTTTTTGAAGCCATTTTTCACGCTTGGTAAATAAAACATTGAAATGAATAAAAAATTATAACTGAGAAGTACTGCAGATTGAAAAATTTTCCGAAGAACCAACCAAAAAGAAGAAAGTGGTATAGATTTCAGTAAGCTTTAACAAAATAGAGGGCGGACTGTTAACGCGACCGGCTGGCCAATTTGGAAACCGATTTTTCTACGGAAACAATCACCCAAATTACTGACCGATAGCTCGTATTTTTATGGAATACTAATTCCGGCTTTAATTACTTGGTTTTGATAGTGGAGTGGGGAAACTAGTTAAACCCACGGAAAAGCGTCCATCCTTCAGTAGGCAGATAAATCCTTAAAATCATACGCAAGACATAGTCCCAGTTGGTTACTCGTCTCATGCGTCCAAACTCCTAAGTCACTAACTAGATCTCAGTGGCCATATTAAACAGTGTTGAAGAAGGTCTACAGGGGGGTATAAAGCCTTCGGCTATATGAAGATGTATTTATTAACGATAGTGTTTAAGGTAGCATGGGGATAGACTGTCATACTAAAATGTAGCAACCCCTCTAATGTCCTTCGAAAACCCGATTGTCCGCAGCGTCATTCGGATGGCACAGACGAACAAATTTGGAGCTGAAACCGAGATGGGCGAGATTCACTTGAATTGACGAATTTCTTTGATCCTCTAAAACACCGATATTCACAGATCTGTCGATGAACACGAATCTCCCATGAATGCAACAGTCTGGAACGCTATACAGATGCCGAAGACCGAAAAGGTTATTGGGCCAGACAGACACCCAGCATAAACCTCACTTGTCATGCTAAAACTACTGTTGCTTCGGGTTTGTGAACGGAAGTATCATCGGTTGGAAGAGAGTCTGTCTTACTGAGCTGCTAAATTAGGGTGACTCAGGCCTGTTCAAGAGTTGGCGCGGAGCCATTCTGCTCTTCATCCGATGCAAAATGTAAGGCTATATCATCCTGAAAAGCCTAAAAGGCGTTCTGAGTGGAAGACTTCTTTCGCAGAAGGTTGGATTTAAAAGAAAGTAATATACAGGTGCAATTTCAACACTACGAATAAATGAACAGGTCATAGAATGATGGTGAATTCTCTGCCTCAGCTAGATCAATTTTGGAAGGGGCACAGACAGTGTCAGCCATATGGATTTTTGAAACTACCCTAACAATGTGAATTACCCCAAAAATTCACCAACCTCGATGTGATCTGGTGGACAATAACGAGGAAAGGATTACAGGATTCTCATTTCATCCCATTCCGGACTCTTCATCTGGACGCACATAGTGGTGTTCTCACTGAGACTGAAACATAGTGCCATTCGTCTCAGTGTTAATCCTCACATTTCATCGAAGCGTTCAAACTAGAAGCCAATATGTCAAAAGAAGTCGGGTGCTTAAGTTCAGCCAATCAACGAGAAGAAAAAAATTTGGTTCAAACAAAATAATTTACAAACCTCAGTCATCAGTTATTCACTATTACTACATGCGACGAAATTAACAACGGTGGGCTCACCGAAACGCCTTAATTGAAGGCAGGTTTAAGATGAAACTGACTACCAATCCTGATAGTACTCATGATTGTGATCGACTGGATCACATGAAAAGTCGTGGAAAGTGGGAAGGTAGTTATACTCTTGCCCAAAGAAAATAGCATAAAATTTCTAAATTTCATGGATGACTCATGTCTCATGTCGCACAAAGTTGAACATTTTCAGGCGGAAGCAGATAAGTGATAAGAGATAATGAGAAGAGAGGACTTCAGGTGAAAATGAAGGAGGCAGAGGTGATAAAGATACCAGACCAGTAACAACAAGCACTAGCCATCATCAGCAGTGAGAATCTAAGGGGAGTCATCTCCTTGGCATGTCTGACCCAGATATTATCGTTTCCCCTACAAGCGACACAGATGTTTACGTCAAGGCCAGAACTAGAAAAGAATGACTGACTCGCACTGCCATAAAGAGACATTAAAGTGAAATAACACATGAGACTTTTGGAGGGGAACCTAAATATGATGCGACGATTTGAATGTACAAGTTTGAAAAGTAGGAGATCATGAAGGAAGTGTAAAATTTCGAATTCAGAGGAAGAATAATAACAATAATTGGTCCAACCTTTGTAGTTATGCACATTGTAGTTTTTCTTCAGTGAACTCTCCTACTAAACGACGACTGAATTGAATTCATTTTATTCGCGTTTCTCTTTTGAAGAACTCAGAATCGTGAAAATATGAAACTAACACTCAGGACACTTTCTGTTATCACTGACTTGAAACATTCAGTCCAATATTTAGGCTGAGCTACTTTGGTGTTGGTTAGGCGAGGTTGGTTTGATTTTTCAAGGTTGGTAGGTTATTTCTACTTTTTGGAAGTTAGGGGCTTTAAGTGGAGTTTTTAGTTCCTTATGACGCTGAATCATCAATAGGAAGCTTCAATCACTACTTCAAAGTGCATTACCTGGAAATCCTTTTTGTTTTGTTACATCTTGTAAATTACCGTGCCTGCAAGCACACATGTGAGCTAGCATTTGTTGAGTTCACTGCCTCCTGTCAAGTAATGGACATTCAGGGTGTTCTTGAATGGCAAAAGTCAAAGAATGCATGTGGAAACATAAATTTAAGATTCATTTTAGCTGCTGAAGTAGTCAAAAATGAGAATTTTCTATGTTTTAAATGCACCAAAATGCTCTCTCATACTTCACACTGCATCTAATCACATTATAATTCTTTATTAAACCCTTTCGGCTTGCAAGAAACTGTATTTAGGATCCACTAAAGATGGTAAAAGCATTTTGATCCACGCTACTTAGTAAAAAATAAGTGGTGTTAAATTTCACAAAAAATATTGCATAAGACTCTGCAGTAACGTATACTTAATAATAGGTTGTAAAATGCCATGGGATAAAGCTAATATCATATATCCAAACGAACTAACTTTCCCTCAATTTACCTTATCAAACAACGATTTTGGGCAATTAGAACCATTTAAGGTAAGTTCTGGCGTGTTTTCTGGGCATTTCGGGATGGCGGGAAGATTTCAACGCATTTTCCCGGAATATTTTGATTGATCTTCCTGGAAACCTCCGAACACTTACTTGGGGAGTACTGCATCATATTCCATATTGTAAATTCGTTCTTCGGAAAAATTTTAAGGTTGAAAACGTCGTACTGGTTTCACTAAAACGAATAAAAGGAGGACATAATGGATGTAACTAAACTATTTCTAACATTCTATCAGCCTCTATTAAAAGTTTGTCGTAAAGTCGTCCCGCATCTTTGCCAAAAATCACTGGCCTGCTTTCAACTGCGTCTAAGAGAAGACTAGTAATGTACATGCAAGTTGTTAGGAACTGAGTTACCGAAGATTGCGTACAGTTTTAGAGCTTCATATTGGACAACTCCAACTCTAATATCGTTTCATCAGCTTCGTTTCATCAAAGTCGACTCATAAAAAGTGGTTGGTAATACTTCATAACATCTCAGGTATTTCAGAATCATCTGCACATCGCTCTCCATTTACGGGACATGTGTAAGCAAAGATTCTAATTTTATGAGTTATTACTATTGTACCTTACATCTCCTTAGTAGCAATTATTAACTCGTGCAAACACCTGTAATTTGCTGGTGATTTGAAATGAATGTTACACTGTTACTTTTCAGAAGTACCCATGATGAGTGCTGTGAAAACATTCTTTAGTGAGGAATTGGAACCAGTTGTAAGCGGTGTAATTAACTGAAGAGGACTGTGTACACAGTTTGTTCGACCGTGTACTATCATCAGTGGGATTTCCCATTGTTTGCACTAGAAAGTCATGTGTAATCAATATGTTCTTCTTTGGATGGCTAAACACTAAGTGAACTGTTAATTCTAGCATACAATACGTCTTTTATTTATGCAGGGTTAGGGTAGCATGAACGGCTAAATTAAGCTAATGCATCGATACCGTCGCTTTAGTTAGTATGCGAGACTAGCGCAGAGTGAACCTAAAGCTTTGGATTGCTACACTTTACTTTCTCTTCTAACTGCATTATAGTTGCATATAAGCACTATACAAATTAGTTCCATGTATCAATCTGTCAGTGGTTTTTAAGAAGACTTTTATAGTGGCAAGTATATGCCACCTATCCTCAGGTGAACATATAAGTTCAAAAGAATTGAGTACTATAAATCCTTCAAGGCGTAAATGATTGTAAAAGTATTAGACTTTATCCCTATTTCAGGGTTTGGGTTAGGTGAAGTGGTAAAGTACTACTTTTCAGTTGACATTCTAGGCACTGCTAATTGTCCTCAATCATTTTAATGTTATACTCTTTTGGAGTCATTGTACAGATAATTTAGTTTTTCGTCTTGTCTAGTTACAATGCTGGGGAAAATTCGGTAGTGCATAGCTGTGGCGTTGATCTGATGAGCTAGAGTTGAGTAATTTGTATCCATTTCACTGTATTTCACTTGACTGTAACACTGAAGTGAACTGAACTTTGCACAAAAGCTAAACACTTCAAGTTGCCACGTTTCACTGATTATATCAAGGTAGAGAAAAAAAATGCAAGGCGAATATAATGAATGAAAACTTACCTGAGAAAGAACATCTACATAGAGAATGGTGAGGATTTAATGGACCTAGGAGACCGCAAAGGGCGAATACATACGTGCAATTGGAAACTGTTTGTAGCCATGTTACCAATAGTCTCCAACCATTGATTCTTAGCGCCTTAATGACCTAAGTCAGGTAGTCTACATCTCCCTAAGTGACTGATATCAACAGTCAAAATCTTCACGCATCGGTGCCAAGTTTCGGACTATAACATACTGGTTACATTGTGTTACTGGATGCTGATGATAACCATGGTGGTGCAAAACCTAAAGCAACTGTTGAGCTTAGTTTATGGGTTTTCACGAAGTAATAGTGAGGTGTTAGTAATTCGAGCAATCACTCGGTAATTTTAGTTCTTATGTTTGTAATATCTGTTTGTCTGTTTGCAAATCGCCTAAAGTTTAACTTAGTTGAAGGCATGTTGTCGCTTCATTTCTGTTTAAAGCACTCAAAAGTTTAAAGTGGTCTCCCACTTGTTTTAGATCTTAGAGGGATCTGAAGACCTTCAAAATATTATAGCTAATCCGTCAATTCACACTTTTTCATGCATCATTAGAAAGATACGTAAATTTGTATTGATAACACAGAAGGATTGCCCGAAGAATAATTAATGGTAATGGACTCTGGCTTCTTAGATTAAATATTAGTTGTTTGCATTAGTAACCACTGAAATTTTGAATCAATAAGGTTTCAAACAAATGTATTTGTTGGCGATTGCAACCATGTTAAGTCAGCACTAAAGGTTTACGTAATCATAGAGTAGGTTAGGGAATATGTTATGATTAAAGTCACTGGTCACTTCAGGTGTTGTCTTGTTGACAGACACGAAATAATAATTGAAAGCCTTAACGTTTAATATTATCTAGACAACTATATCGATTATTTGTTATTTTTGGTGTATCTGCCTAAGATGTGTTCCGGTAGTGTTTTCAAAACATCTCTGTATGAATATGGTCAAAAAGGTGCTTAAAAATTGCATAAGTAGGTTTCGTATCGAATATTAAGCGATAGTGAGACTATGTTGCTAATCGAATTTGCCACTTTAACCAAATTTTCAGTTTAATCGATCAGAATAAAATGACTCACTGAGAATTCGCACCAGTTCCTTGACATGAAATGGACAGCTCTTTGTTTGTACTAAGCTAATTAAATATGTGGTAGAGATGAAGTGAGTATAATCAATGAAAACTGAAATGAATTTGATACCTTAATCCTCTGTAATTATTCACTTCACAGTGAATCTGTTTTCAACTATATTTCTATTGCAGGAGTTTTGTAAATTTATTGATTACTGAAATTCATTTCTTACTTAATTCATTGTTTTTTTCCTTCATATCTGTATACGGAAAGGCAATGTCGTTCTGTAGCTAGTTGGATTATTAACACAAGACATCGTCAGCCACGTGCTCCAGCTATGTCATTGAGTGAGATAGTTGAAAATGTGAAACAAGCGAGGGAATTGGCTCTTCTTGGGAACTATGAAAGTTCGCTGACATATTACTCTGTCGGTCTTGCACAGCTTAAGAATTTTACTGTATCTATTTCAGAAGCAAACAGAAAACAACAATGGCAGACTGTAAGTATTACTACGAATAAATTTATCAGTAACTTTTAAATATTCTTTAGTCATTATTTTCTCGGACCAATTTACCGATAAATTTAAGCCTTAATAATTCCAGTGTCTGATCTCAGAGATAAGGGATAAGTTTACTTCAAAAATAGGTAGTTTAGTTTCATGATAAGACTTATGTGTAATAGTATAAGTAGGAATATTATAGTAATAGGTACTTAAAATACTATCCACGTGATATCTCTAGATTAAAGTTTTAGTCAAATTTTGTGAAAGACACACGAATTGTTTGCATAATGAGTAGTGAGAATTATGCTAGGTGAAAGGTCAACTGTTTCTCTATGGTACCACAGCTGACAATGAAGTCAATATTCTGTAAGAGGTCGTCGTTTTTAACCAGAAGAGGTATAGTTTTCATTATCTAGGTGTTTGTTTCCTAGTTTTCATCAATTGTATTCACTATTTGGTTACCCGGGTTTGATTTCTGGTCAACAAAATGTAGAAAAATAATTCTGTGAAAGAATATACGCACAGTTGCGTGAACATCATCTCTTATTGTAGGTATTCGATAGCTCCGCCTGACGACTGAAAAGTTCCTGTTTGATTGTAACGAACTAGGCTTGTTGGTATATATTATTTCTAGTGTAACAATATTTAAAAAATTTGGTTTGCTTTCGATTCTAAGATTAATTTCGACGTGTCGTTACATGAATTTTCACAGTCTTTTGGTTTTACGCCTTTTAAATTTCCTGAGCATTGCAGCCTTTGTTTGTTTTCGCTCTTACTTATCTCAGGTGCGACAAGAACTGGCAGATGAATATGAACTGGTAAAAGATGTAAACCAAACCTTATCCAGTTTCAAACTATCTGATGATGATTCAGGCTTGAGCGCTTTCGCTAGCCGTTACAATTCTCGTGGAGCTGTTGAAGAACCAACTAGAGATCCAGATGTTTGGCCACCTCCACCACCTTTAGATCGGAGGCATGGCGGTGGCGCTCAGAACTCACCTTTGTCCAATGTACAGATTAATGCTGTTCCTAGTTCATATTACAAATCACCCATTACTCATGGCCCAGCTCCTTCTCCTTCTGTCAATGTGAAGTCACCTGCTAATGTTGGAGCATCCGCACGTCGTCAAGCAAAACCTAATCCTCCAAGTGCACGATCTAAGGGCACAGCTCAGTCTTCCGGTAATGCTCTTGTACTCATTTATTTTTATGCTGTATTATTTTGTTCCTTCGTAAATCAAAGAATTCTTCCAGTCATGTCCGGTTCAATTTTCAATTTTACCTTCCTTTGTGTAAGTTAAGGAACCTAGGGGAATCGATGGAACATATAAAAGTTCCGAGTATTTGGTAAATTCAGTCGGTCGGTCGGTTTTCGACATAGAACTTTGCACATATGTGCGGCAGTTCAAGTCGCCACAATCTATGTAGCACGCAAAGCAAGAGAAGAAATGCATAATATAGACAGTAAACAGAGGTGTGAGACAAAGGAATAGTAATAACGGAGAACAAAAGTTTAATTGGAAATCATAAGTCACAAGGAGTGGATGCATCTGCGCCACTGAGAACGATTTTGAGCCATGTCGCCAATTGTTTCCAACCATTGGTTTTTACCGTCCCGAGGGCCCCAACCAGGAAGTCTACATCTTCCTACGTGGCTTAGACTAATTGTTGTAGATTTCATTGACTGGTGCCATGTTTTCATTTGACCGCCACTAGCTCTTTTCCAGCCTGGCCCTATATCAGCAAACATTGCCCATTGTCGAGGAAGGCGATGACTAGGCATACGTAGCACATGTCCTAACCATCTCAGTCGAAGTAATTTCACAGTCTCGTCGATTGATTTCCCCGCCTTACCTAGCACTCGACGCCTAACCTCAATATTGCTCACCTTATTATACCACTTCACGCGGGAGATGGAACGCAGACACCTATGATCGAAGACAGCTAATCTTTTCATGTCTTCTGCTCTCAATGGCCAGGTCTCACAGCCATAAAGGAGGACGGAGCGGACTGTTGATAAATTCAAATTGGTTGACACTCAAGCATACACAGCTTTTCACCGATAAGGTATAAAGGGTCGTTATTAAGACCAATATAATGTGAGGTAGAAAAACATAATGAATTACATAAGTTGTAGCAACTTAGTTTTTCGAATATTCCGACGGATTCAATTGTAATCTGCAAGTAATTTAGTGTTTTTTCTGGTGGAACTAAAGCTTGTAACGACACATAATAAGAGAATTGGTAACGGCCCTTTATTCAGCAGAAGGATATCATATTTATACATTCTTAGCCACATTAAAGTTCAGCTAGGTCAGAGGAGAATAAACTGTTCTGATTGGCTGATAATTAGCCCAAGATTAAACACATTGTCAATATATGTGTAAAACTTGGGCACTGTGGTAGTAGGTAATTCCACATTAGTTTGTTTATTAGATATATCACAGTGAAACAGTATTATTTACTGGATGACGTTTCGAACAAAATTTATTGTTCATAATCATATCAACTGTAATCACACGACTTTGACGCTTGAGTTTTAAACACATTGTCCATTGAGGTAAACACATTGTCCGTTGAGATTATTTCATGTCCACAAAGTAAATTAAATTCAAATTTAAGGGATAAATACTTCTCCCTCTGTAACCAATGGCTTAAAATTCTGATTTCAGTTTTGGCCACTTCCTATCAGTCTGCAACTCATTACAGCCGGTATATTCTTCTTGAGTATTTGTAGAAGTAATTATTTGTTGATAGGATGATGAAAGGATTGTTTATCAGAGTCTTCCCCTGTTGGTTTATTGACGTAAATCCAATTTGTTTTACTCTTGATTCTTAAATTTCTTTCTGTGCCCAAGTGATTTTTTTGTCACTTGCTTAGATGTTATCTTTTGTACTACTATCGGGTTGATTTTTGGTTTTGAAATGGCTTTCCTTAGATTTATTTTCAATTCTTGTTTTTGACGTGGATCAGTTTTTTTTCTGGTGAATGAGTTCTGAATTAGTTGATTTCTGAAGTTTGTACATGAATTAGCTTGAATTCGCTTGCTTGACTCTAAACAATTAGTCCTTTCGATAAATTTGGATAGTGTTATTAGAAGAAAAGTTTCTCTGGAATAGATGTGACATGTTTTGTGTAATACATTTCGAGCAGTTTGTGTACATACTTAGTTGTAAAGTCAGTCTATATCATAATAATGAAAGGAAAAGTCAGATTAGAATATCGTCTAGGCGTCCGTACTAGGATCTGACATGTCAGCAGGTATCGAGGATTTCGGTCCAACATTATCAATCGTTAGGAAGTGCAAATAAACGTAATAGCTACTAAAATCTAATACTCGTTGCACAAGAGGTGGCTTTCATGGCCTAGCCGGTAACTGCTACTTTGTCGTGATAATTGGCCTTGAATAACGCAGTGACCCAATAAGCTGCGCTTCCTTGGACCTATGTTCCTGCAGGTCCTACCATGTCAGGAAAGTTGTTTGGATAGCGGTTAGACTAAGAGCAGTCCCCATGTGGTCGTATAAACCTGTACTGGTCACCGATATTCATTCATGGGAACGTCGCTCCTGACGATTCTCCGCTGCCTTGCGGATTAGACTTCAAGTCAAAGGCTCTGGGGGTTGATCCCTTGAGACAACCACCTGCTTTGGTTTAGGCGCCAGTACTCAACCCTCACACAATCAATAAAAATGAAGCAACGAACTATCAGTAAAACTAATCTCATTCACTTTACAATGCTCTCGAAGATAATTGATATTTCAAGTGACGCATTGCTTTCCAACCGTTTTTTTACTTTTATACATAGACTCCTTTGTTTCACTTTTGCTATTGTTGGTGACTTTACTTTCGTCAGCCTTTATCCTTTATCTGAATTCCCAGCTTATCTGTCCCGTTTCGGGATGTGAGTGAGTAGCCCTCAAGATGGTTGTGTCCACTGTGACATCTAACACAGATATCCTGAGACCGCGTGCCGCATTTAAGCTTGCTACCTACAATGTTCGGACGCTGATGCAAATCGGACAACAGGCAGGTCTGGTAAGAAAATTGGAAAGCCTCGCTATCGATATCTGCTGCATTTCGGAGACTCTCATTCAAGATCCCAGTGAAGTGCTTCGATTATCTTCTCTATCTGAAAGTTCTAGTAGTATGTACCACCTGGGCTTGTCCGGAGACCCTGTGGCGTCGGCTTTTGACGTAGCCGGTGTCAGCGTCGCACTAAGCGCTAGAGCCGAAGCTATTTATCTTTACTGGGTCCCCATTAACAGTCGTTTATGTTCTGTGAGGCTGGAAGGTTATACAAGAGTAAGGAGTGGTAGGCCAGATAGGCGGTATCTAATTGTTGCCTCCGCCTATGCACTGACGGATTGCAGCCCGGATGCAATTAAGGATGAGTTCTACTACCAACTGAGCGACCTCTTGAAACAGGTGGGTCGGAAGGATATCGGTGTTCATGTTCAATCCATCACGTGGCGTCGCGGGATAAAGGATATTTATACTTGGTTAGTATCGGTTGGTACGTCACGACTCCCTGGTTGGAATCCGAGAGATGGCTGCAAACGTCATCGGATATGGCCAAAAATCGCAATCAATGGCGAATGTGCTGCAATTTCCTTCTCTCTTCCCTTTCTGGAAATAATTCGATGAATGCTGTTTGGTCTTGCGAAATATAACTGCTTTCTTCCCAGATGAAGTCGTTTATTTATTCTCCATCTACTTATATTTTTTATGTTTTCTTATTATTATCGTGTGGCACATCTTTTTGGTGCCATATTGTTCCAGGTTTTCAGTTTTAAATAAAAAAAATTTTCAAGAACTTCATACAACTGGTTCCCTTGATAAATTTCGATAAAGAAAGGAAGACGAAATTTGCAGTATAAAATGATATCATTCTATTTCACAGGTTCTCATCAGCTGCAGACTACCTGAAATTACAATGGTTATATAAATGATAATAACATACTTTAATGTTTGATTAGTAGTAGAGAAGAGATAAAATTGACGCATCCAAAAAAAGAATGGAAGCATTACAATTTTTAGTCTAAGTTATCATCATCAATTTATACACTTTCAGAGTTGAAAAGAGGGGGTAGGGGTAAGACAGAAAATAGAAAAATTGATTAACAGAACAGTGTTAGCTTGTAGGTTCACATGGCAACTCCAAAAAACAAAAGCAATTCATACCAGTACCTCTCCGAATTGAAATCTCGTCTGGCTACCTATGATACCCTACTAAGCGAGCTTAATATTATTTGCTGGCTAAAATTCATGAATTTTATCAAAGAGCTACAATCAAAAACATCCAAGGACTATGACACTCAGCTGATAAAAGCGTTGGTGAAAGAGAAGCTAATCGAAGAATTCCCAGAATCACCTGAACGCTACGTCTGTAATCTATCAAAATTACAATTAAACAAAATTGAATTAGAAGCCTTATCTCTAGGATTCAAGTTTCACGTCCCCAAGAAGCAGATCAGTCGTATAGATACAGAAGCACAATTCGAACACTTATACCATCAACTCCACGACCTGAAACCCTTAGACGAAGATAAAAGAGGATGGCTAAAGTCTAAACTTGTTGATATTGCTAACCAATACCACATATCGCCAATGGAGAAGCAGAAGATACTGACCGAAGAGCATAGAATAGCACTGAAGAAACTATATGAGAACGATGAAATTGTCATATTTAGACCTGATAAAGGCTCTGGGGTTGTTATAATGAACAAAGCTGATTATATTCATAAAATGATGACAATTCTAAACGACAAAGAAAAATTCCAAGTAGACAACAAAAAAGATGCCACAACGTCGTTTGAAAAGAAAATAAAGTAAATAAATGTCTCAAAGAACTCCTAATGAAGAAACTAATCAACAGCGAAACATACAATAAACTGAAGTCAAAAGGTGGACGCCTGCCGTCTATGTACGGCCTACCAAAAATCCATAAAGCAAACGTGCCTTTAAGACCAATCTTGTCAATGATTGACTCACCATACCACAAGTTAGCTCGATGGTTAGCTGATTCCATAGAGCCAATTCGAATTAAATTTGCAACCCGTAGCCTGAAGGATAGCTACCAATTCTCCAAGGAAGTTGACAACATTGACATATCAGACAAACTCATGGTATCATATGACGTGACCTCCTTGTTCACAAACGTACCACTGATGGAAACGACTGATATAATTTGTAAACAAACGGATCTACTACCGTTACCGGAAACAGAGATGAAGCGACTACTGCTGCTCTGCACAAAAGATATACAATTCAAATTCAACAATCAACTCTACCGACAAATTGATGAGGTCGCTATGGGTTCACCTCTGGGACCTATCCTGGCTGATATCTTCATGGGCTACCTTGAACAGACACAACTAAGTTCTGCTATCAATGGAACAACCTACTATCGCCGATATGTTGATGACACATTTGTTGTTTGCAACGACATGGACCACGCATCGGCATTATATGATCGCCTAAATGAGATTCATCCAAATATCAAGTTCACCATGGAATATGAACATAAAAATGAGTTCAATTTCCTGGATCTAAATGTAAAAAGAACAAACGAAGGCATGATTGAAAAGTCCATCTATAGAAAAGAAACCTGGACTGGACAATATCTTCACTATAACAGCTTTTGTCCCATAAGCTATAAACGTGGATTAGTGAGGACTTTGTACGACAGAGCCAGGAAGCTATGTTCACCAAACAAGGTCGAAGAAGAACTAGATTTCGTCGAGAAATGCCTGAGGGAAAACGGATACCCTAAAGGATTTATACAGAAGTATAGCAGAGAAAAAGATAAGAAAGAAAAGCATCCAACTGTAGAAAAGAAAAAAGTGTTTATTTGTCTCCCATTCAAAGGAGATGCAGTTTCACAAAAGATTGACAGAAGACTGAAAGGAGCAATAAATAGAAGCTTCCCGGCAGCAAAACTCATAACAGTATACAACACCACTCCTTCCATGATCAACTAAAAACTGGATAAATACCCTGCTGATTTCACCTCCAACTGCGTTTATAAATTTACGTGCACTTGCGGGAGCAAGTACATTGGAAGGACAGAAAGAAGGGCTTCTATCCGGTTTTCCGAACATATTCCAAGAAACCTATGCCTGAAAGGAAGCAAATATTCTCAGAGTGCAATTACCAGACATATTGTTGATACCGGACATCTCGTAGAGATTTATAAGTCCTTCAAAATATTAAATAGACAAAGGACAGCAAATTTACTACGATTTGCCGAAGCGATCGCAATCAAACGATTTAAACCAGACTTATGCATACAGAAAGAGAGTGTGATTAACCTCTCACTCCTTTGTTAACTGAATTTTGATTGTGATTACAATAATTAGTCGTCTAATTCAGTGATCTCAACTCACTGAACAAATCTTAATCTCATAAACTGTAACCGCTTTTGATTTTTTTTTTGGAGTTGCCATGTGAACCTACAAGCTAACACTGTTTCTGTTAATCAATTTTTCTGTTTTCTGTCTTACCCCTCCCCTCTCTTTTCAACTCTGAAAGTGTATAAATTGATGATGATAACTTAGACTAAAAATTGTAATGCTTCCATTCTTTTTTTGGATGCGTCAATTTTATCTCTTCTCTACTACTAATCAAACATTAAAGTATGTTATTATCATTTATATAACCATTGTAATTTCAGGTAGTCTGCAGATGATGAAAACCTGTGAAATAGAATGATATCATTTTATACTGCAAATTTCGTCTTCCTTTCTTTATCGAAAAAAAATTTTAAAAATTTCACGGGTTCGCCTTTGTAACGATGGGTGCAGGGTTCGAGTCTGAGTAAGAACTCCATCACTCACTTAAACGCAGGTACATCCAGACGATGAGTTTCCAATGCGAATACGTATTTTGGCTAATTTCTTATCAGGCTTTACAATACACAATAAATTTACTTATTACAGACATTTTATACCAGTGTGGTTAATAAAAGTACAATTCAAGTGTATCAATCAATCAATAATAATAAGGAGGTCGGTCGGTTTTCGACATAGAACTTTGCACATATGTGCGGCAGTTCAAGTCGCCACACTCCATGTAGCACGCAGATCAAGAGAAGAAAGTAGAAGAAATGCATATTAGAGACAGTAAACAGAGGTGGGAGACAAAGGAATAGTAATAACGGAGAACAAAACAGTTTAATTGGAAATCATAAGTCACAGGGAGTGGATGCATCTGCGCCACTGAGAACGATTTTGAGCCATATCACCAATTGTTTCCAACCATTGGTTTTACCGTCCTGAGGAACCCAACCAGGAAGTCTACACCTTCCTACGTGGCTTAGACTAACTGTTGTGGATTTCATTCACTGATGCCATCTTTTCGTTTGACCGCCGCTAGCTCTTTTCCAGCCTGACCCTATATCAGCTAACATTGCCCGTCGAGGAAGGTGATGACTAGGCATACGTAACACATGTCCTAACCATCTCAGTCGATGTAATTTCACAGTTTCGTCGATTGATTTCCCCGACCGAAAGCTGCTACCTTGACGTGGTGGTCGGGCTTGAACACTGCAATGACCCAACAAGCTATACTGGCTGGAACCTATGTTCCTGCAGGTCCTACCATGCCAGAAAGGTTGTTTGGATAGCGGTTAGACTAAAAGCAGTTACCCAATCCAATCCTATGACTTCAAATAAATCACAAAATATCATGCCGGATCGGTCGGGGCCCGGATTAACAACGACCGCGCTTTCTGCTGCCGTGTCACAGGGCAGAAGTGATAAATACGCTACTGAGACACACCAAATAAAAAAGAACAAACAAAAACAGGCCGCGTGTGACCGGCCTCAAGCAGTTGTCCCCTGGGCTCTGCGGTCACGCAACCAACTTCCACGGTGTGGGCAGCCGGGAAGTAACAGTCGACCTCACAATCCGAAATGCACGCGAAACCTCCCTAATCCTCACTCATCTTTGTCTTCATCTTCATCTCTATTATCTTGCCTTCCTTCTACTAATGCAACTCCTCTAATAATAAGGAGAACAACCTTATTCTGGAAATTATGTTTACACACAATACAGAATTCGCGGAGCAATCTTTTTAAGAAAATATTTACTTCAAGTAAAATATCGACAGCATATTGTATGATCCAATGTTGTTCCATCTGAGACAAGACGCAATCTTCATTTTCTTCTTGAAATACACAGCAGTAGGTTGGAAGTTGACTTAAACTTTTTCTTGCGATGATGTTTCACTCCTTTGACATAGTAGAAAGGTTGAAACAATAAGAAACGGAGGAAAGTAGATGCATTATGCTAGATGGAAATTTAAGTGATCCAGTGTTTTAGACAGGTAGTAGATACTAATCAAGGTGATCATACTAATAATAATAACAAGGATAAATTCATGCGAATGTTTATACTGCTCAGGTAGTCAATCATTATCTAATCTCTATGAAACAATGGTTGTTTCGCCTTCCTACTCCCACAAATATACATATATATACAATTATGATTTGCAAAGCTGGGATAAATATGCGATTATAAGCCAATATGACAATGACAATAAAAATAAAGTTAACAGTACAAATGAAGATAATATTGACAGTTATCTAGTGTCATTGGGATAGGAAACTATTCTTGTTGGTGGTGGGTGGGTGGGTAGGTGAGATAGTGACTGAACAGAGTTTTCCTGAACATATTGATTGAGTTAGAGACTGTCTCTGACAACTGCCTCCTCCTCTATGCCACTATCCATTCTAAGCCAATGCTTAAGTGCTTTTATTGCTGTGTAGTTATCTAGGGAATTTTCGATTTCGCAATACACTTATCCTTATTTCTAAGCCTTTATGAACTGTTAAGTACTGCAGAAGAGATTTAGTACTTTGAATTGAATGTTACAGACAAGTTTAGAAATTTTATTATTTAACTGTATAGATTAGGCAGAATAAGGCTGGAAGAGGAAATACTATTTGAAGGTATGATCTTGTAATCATCCTTAACATGGAGCTTTTCAGAGCAAATGTATGAAAATGCTCTTTTTTAATGTATTGCATAACGGAAATTCCAGTTGCAGTTAAAAAGGACAGCTTTGAAATTTTGTCTCCTCTCTTATTTTAACAGTAATGATAAATCTTGTGCTTTTACACGTACAAAAATTGTATTTCAAATGGTCCCACTTACTGTCAGGTAAACTAACTATTCTTTTCACAAGGCGACTGACTGACTAGTTTCAACGTAGAACTTTGCACAGATGTGCAGCAGTTCGAGTTGCCATTCTTCATGTAGCACACAAAACAAGAGAAGAGAGTAAAGAGAGATTCAAAAAAGAGATAATAAAGAGAAGTGTGATAGGAAAGAGCAGTAAACCTGAAGAACACTATAGTTTTATTGGATATGATAAATCACAAAGAGTGAATGCATCTGTGCCATCATTGAGAACGATTTTGAGCCATATCACCAATTGTCTCTAGCCACCAATGGTTTTACCTTCCCAAAGACCCTAACCAGTCAGGAATTCTACAATTTCCTACGTGGCTGACTGGCTTAAACTACCTGTTGTGGATTTCATTGACTGATGCCAACGCAACCAGTAAGAGAGTAATCCCTTGTATACCATCACTCTTGTTGGTATTAGATGGTTGGAAGCAATCGGCAAGAAGCCTTGGACACTAGTCAGTAACTAGTGTGTGCGGCGAAGATAGGTATAGACACATTACACTAGTTACTGACTAGTGTGCAATCAAAAATGCCATCACTCTGTAAATTATATCATCTTATTTATGCTGATGTTATGCACTTCCACTTTTTTCTATAAGGAAAATAAATGTTGAGTTATCTGACACTCAAATTATTTCCTCACATCTATAACATCTATGGTCTGAATATTGGCCGCTTCTTTGAAGGATAGCAGCCTGAACTAATACAGGACTGTGAGGAACTCTATGCTGTATTCATTCAGGAATCTCAACTGTAATCAATTATTACATTATGTTTGTCAAATCACCTATCATGGTCAGAGGTTATCGTTGTTTGTGGAATGGATCTCTTGTAATTGTTATAAAGTGACCCACCAATTTGTTTACCTTTTTTGAGTATTCACCTTAAAAATACGCTCATCACAGATAAGGAATCTAAGCACTTGTCAACATCATTATCCATTTTTAGCTGATAAAGTTTTGCTTTTTCCTGTTTTCTCTAATTCAGTGAACAATCGTCGTGCTAAGCCTGGATCTCAGTCTACTGGAGACTCCGCCAACAACAATAGTGAAGAAAAGTTTGATGCAAGCGGATATGATAAAGATCTTGTAGAAACACTAGAAAGAGATATAGTTCAACGTAATCCAAATGTTCGATGGGATGATATAGCTGCATTAGATGATGCAAAGCGTTTACTTCAAGAAGCTGTGGTTCTGCCAATGGTTATTCCCGGTTTCTTTAAAGGAATTCGTAGACCATGGAAAGTATGTATCGCATGTGTCTTTTTCAATTTAATTTTTTTGCATTCCGATTTTAAAATAAGGACTTTAGACTTTTGAAGTTTCAGTAACAGTGGTGTGAGTTTTGCTGGGTGAAGTTACCAGCCTCACACCCAGCCTTCCCTTTTTCCCAGGCTTACTGTTGGCTAGTAAACTAGGCAAGGTGTAGGAGTGCATCGGCCGGGAATCAAGCCCGGACCACGCGTGTGTGTATTTAATATTATTATGTATTGTTTACTAGCATAGAACGCATGAGTTACACACTATCTAGATATGATGGAGAAGATTTGTAGCTGAGGTAGATGATTTTGATGTGTTTGTGTTCTCTGAGCTGGATAGTTAATTTGTGAAGCTTCCATTGCTCTATTAGGCAGCATCTTCAGCGCATACTTCAATTTGATGAAGTGGGATTTTAGATTTCTCCACGAGTCTAGTGGTCATCTCTTCTGGTGACGTTGGACGTGATTGGTCGTTTTCGTGTGTTTTCACACCCTCTTGGCTACTTGTATTGAAACTGGTTGTTTCCTTGACTTGAACTTTGATCCTTCTTATCGGTTGGCAAATTTTATCTATCTCGATGTATCTGTTGATTGACGATTCACTGGAATACCAGGCTTCTAAAAATTCTCTAGCATTCTTGGTGTTTCCTCTGTCTGATATTTGAACGTTGGGTGTCCCAGTCGAATTGATGTCCGTGGTTGTCTGTACGTAGTGATATGAAGGAGTGGATGTCATGTCTTTTGACCTCTAGTTTATTTTCAGGGACACGAAGACGAAGGAGGTATTCACTTTGGACAACGTAGTGTTTTTCGCAATTGTTACAATTTATTTTGTAGATGATGTTGGTTTTATCTTCTTCCAATACAAGTAGCCTAGAGGGGGCGAAAACACACAAAAACAACCAACGTTCAAGGTCACCAGGAGAGATGACCGGTAAACTCGTGGGGAAATCTAAAATCTCACTACATCAAATTAAAGTATGCGCTGAAGATGCTGCCTAGTGGGGCAATTGAAGCTTCGCAAATTAACTATCCAGCTCAGAGAACACAACCACATCAAAAAAAACTACACACTATATGCTTTTAATGCATGGAAAGAAACATAGTTAAGGTTTTTGACTGCAAAGATACAAAAATAATGAGCGAATTCGCTGGGGAAGTTTTAAACGTTGTTACAAAGTTCAGAAAACGAAGACAAGATTTCTTAATTCTATGTTGGTTGTCAGTGGTCATCTATTTTCACTAGGAGTGTTCTACCATATCTAATACCTGTTTATTAATATCCTACTGAAATTATCTACGTTCATATCACATTAAGAATGATTAATTAGTTTCTTTCAAGTTTGATCACGGATTGATCTGAGTTAGAGCACCATTGAAAGCCAGGAAGTACTGGACAGCTATCTCGCCCTAGTCCAGAACTCTTCATCATTACTCACCCGCCGAGGTTCGAACTCAAGACTCTCCGGTTACAATATGAGCTCGTAAATCATTCAACCGCTGGGACCCGATCAAATGCCCCATGAATTTCAACTTATATACCACCACCAGCCAGTGTCATCAGTTGGTATTTATCCTCACACCAGGAGGTCCTGGGTTCAAACTCTGGCAGCTACGTGCTGGTGAAGAGTTTCACACCAGGACGAAGCAACTGTCCCTGCTTCCTGGTTTTCAATGGTTCTCTAACTAATCAAGCTGGAAACAAATCAAATCCCTACAACCTAACTCTCGTAGATAGTTTCTTTTGAGCAGATCTAAGACAATGAAATAATTTATAGGTTACGGTTGCTAAACGTTTATTTGCATTTGCTTATCATAGCAACTAGACCTCATACGCTAACGCGATCATCTCAGATTGTTGTTAATTATTATTTTACTGTCCATTTTTGAGTTGAGGTGAAATTTGATAATGGTTCCTTTTGAAAATTTAAAATATTCAGATCAAAGTCCATGATCTGCTCAGCACTGCAAATAGCATCAGGAAAGAGGGTGAAACTAATGATTGGTGCGAATGGTTGGACGCTACTGTCAATGTCTAGCAATGTTGAAATCTAGGTGAACTAAATACCGGAGAGTCATTTCGTGTATTTTAGACTGAACTCATCATCAGTTTTCTTGAATTGATTTACCTCAAAATGTTGGTTCCAGTAGCCTGACCGAAGCGTATTTGATGAATGTCTTCTTTGATACACTAACTTTGTCTTCTGAAGCGCAATCTCAGATGGTGCTTTCATTTCGTTTTGTGGTTTATTATTTTTCTCTCAAATAAATCAAATTTTCCTTCACCATAAAATGTTGCTCGATAATCAGCTGTTATAATGAATCGTTTAACAATAAGTGACGATTGATGATACTAAATAGTTGCTCTAATATTGGCAGACATGGCCGGAATTTGAACTCGCAAACTACCGGTTGGAATTTAAGTGTCTAATTCACAGATCAATTTACATTCTTGAGTTACTTTTATCTAATAGTGAGTTTGTTGTGATACCTATATACTGTCAGAAGAAGATTGAAATGTAAGGTCAAGGTTTTGTTTTTACACAGCTTATCCGGTTTAAATATATCATGTATTCGAGAAAATCCTGCAACTTGTATTTTCCTGTTTTAGGGTGTATTAATGGTTGGCCCACCAGGTACCGGTAAAACACTGCTAGCTAAAGCGGTGGCTACAGAATGCGGTACTACATTCTTTAATGTTTCCAGTTCTAGTTTAACAAGTAAATGGAGAGGAGAGTCAGAGAAATTAGTTAAACTTTTATTTGATATGGCACGTTTCTATGCTCCAAGTACAATATTTATGGATGAAATTGATTCAATTTGTTCTCGACGCGGTAGTGAGTCAGAACACGAGAGTTCCAGACGAGTGAAATCTGAACTTTTAATTCAAATGGATGGTATGTGATAATTCTAGTGTTTAATATCTTCTTTTTTATTCGCTCAGTAGTTAGGTCATTTTATTTTGAAACAGTGGTGTTTTCACACTAAGTTTGTGGATATTCAAATACATACTTTACTTTCCGAACTTGAATATTTTTGAATTATACTTTTTTATTACTTTGGTCATCTTCAGTGTTGCTTGACAAAGATTTGCAGCATTTCTTCTTCTCAGACTGAGTAATTTGATCTTTTTTTCTTGATTGGTCTATTGTACAACACTCAATAAAATCCAACTGCTATAATGCATGAGAATTCATTGATTTCATGAATATATATTCACAGTTATTTCTCCTGTTTATTGAGCTTTGTGTATTCAAGTCTTGAACATATTATGATTAAATTTATAAATTCTACTGTGTATCGTTTGGTTTGAAGAGCTTGCTAGCATCGTTTATTTATTAAGAATTCATTGCTTCTGTGCACTCGTCAGCAAGGTATATCTGCCACCTTGGAGGAACTAGTGTTCTCTCTGAGACTCGAATTCATGTCACCTAGTGCTGCATTCAGAGGCGTTACCGCTGAGATATTCGGACTCATGATTGATCTCCTCGAGAGCCTCAATGGATACGTTTATTGGGCACTAGAGAGTAACTAACGTCTTGTATCTAGTGTATTACTGACGACATGAGTTCCTTCAAGGTTGCAGAAACTCCTTGCTGGTGGCTAAGTACAAGCACCAAGCCTAGGTCCAGGGCTTCCCACCAATTGCCTTCACTCATCCAATATCAATTCAAAGTGCAACGCGATGGCAGGCTACTTAGCCTGGTGACCACATTGTAAGCCTGACCGATAGAATTCACTCTGCACCAACACCGAAGATCAGACTCATGACAATGATCACTCTCTGGTGGCCAATCATTGTAAATGTGTTGCACCTGTATTTCCAATACATATAACACTTGCTGTTAAGCTACTCTTGAAAAACATTTAAAAATAATGCATAATCGCTATGAATTACGTAGGGTAAATTACTTTACTATCGAGTTTTGAAGATTTGCCTAAGATGTAAACCTCTCACTTGCGTATGTCAATATGCTTTTGCAAAATTCACTGTTTATTTTCAAGTGTTGATTTGCAAGAATTTTACGGATCTCAAGTTAGATCACAAACTTACTTCTCACTTAGAGAAACATTAGGGAGCCGGTAAGTACTAGACGTCTGTTTCGTTCTAATTTACGATTCATCAGCAGTAGGCACCCATGACCCGAGTGGGACATAACCCCAGAACCTTCAGATTATGAGGCGATTCCGATGATCGTATAGCATCTGGGATGGAATCTAATAGCTCATAAATACTAACTTCTACTGCGAATTTTATATTAGATAAGTTTATTTGATATGACGCACAGTAGTATAGTGTTAATAACTGGATGACATTTCGAAAAGAAATTTCCCACATTCACGGTATAGTCGTTGGGTTATTTTTGCTCCATATGTTGGGTGTTGATTCAATAAACAAAGATTCGGTGATTAACCTGTGTTTCTACTTAACTTTATTGCTTTTTAGTACTTATAATAAATTGTTCTCGAAACGTCACCTAGTTATCAATACTGTACCACTGTGTTTTATCAAATAAACGTACCTGATATGGAATACATTCTACATCAGTGCCCAAGTTCTAGAATTACATTAATTATACTGCGAAGTCGTGACAAGTGGGGTTGACCAAGTCAGGTATGAAGTCAGGTACCAAGTGATGACGTTGGCTGACGGTTGCGTGGTATATCTCATATTGGCCGAAGTGGGAAGTTATGGTCCATTAGACTGTGTTCCAATGGCTGAATTCTCAACGGACTCACCTCGTGCTTCCTTGTGTAATAAAGTAATTAATAGTGAAAAGATTCGTAAGCGTTCCACTGATTTGGTTTAAGAGTACTGTCGACAGTAAGATATACAGAGCTTGAATATTTAATCTTCTTAGTTCTATGTTACCGACTTTCGGACGGCGAAACATTTTGCATCAAAACAATTTGAAATCTTACTATAACTTAGTTTTCCGGAGTAAACATCTCATTTATCAGGTTATAAGCCATACTTTAGTGATAGCTAATGATTCTGCTCAGTTGATCAGAGTAAAGCAATTGGATCGGGTTTTGAACATACGACTAAGTGACTGAAAGTTGAATACTCAAAGTGACGAGCCATATCTCCATAATTTAAAGTCTTACAAAACAACTTATTATTTCAAGGATCACTAACTTCAGCTGTGAGCTGAAGCTGTTTGATCTATCAGTAGTGGGGTGATTAAGATAGCTTAAATATTCAAATAAGCATATTGCACAAAGTTGATCAATGCTTGTAGTCAAATGAATCAGCTTTAAAAGTATAATTCCACAGTTCATGGGTTCATTTGAGTTAAAAATGAATCTGAAAGTGTACGAATCGAATTACCTATTCTGTGGCTAAGAATTTACCCTTTTTCATACTTTATGCTGATATTCAAATACATGACCTTAAGTTTACTTTAGTTTTTGAATTCTTTACATATTCATTTTGACTCGTTTATTAGCAAATTGATGCATTCATTTATCACTTTTTTTTTATAAAAGAAAAAACTTTTAATTACCTATTACATGCATACAGGATATCGATTTAGGCATTTGAGTACGAATCACGACTGGTTAACAGATAGGAATCCTACGTCGCCTCCATTCAAGTTTTGGCAACTAAATAGTACAGTGATTCATAATCCATTGCTGACAAATGCATGTAATTCTTAAGATGCCTTAATTATCAATTATTGAGTCTTATTCTAACCTTTAATAGTCGTTTTCTTATGCCTTTATGTGAGATTGTATATCTTCGTATGAATTAACATTCCCCTTACCTTTGAGTTGAAAAGCCAGAAATCCTAATGTATTAGACATATATCAATAGATAGATCTTTTTAAATGTCAATAATTGATCCAAGATTTGTTTCACATATAAAAAATTATGATATCTTGTACTTTTTTACCACAGTTACTTACTCCAGCTGTTTTGTGTTTCAGTGATTTATATGTTGAACATTTTTATATTTCATAAATTACTCAGTTATGCGTTCGTTGTTCACCAAAGTTAACTGATGTTTTTAGACTTAAGGAATTCAAGCCCCGAAACGTATGAATTACAGATACCAACTGTTACCTTACTGTAAATATTTTCTTTTAAAAATTTATTCTAATATAAGGAGTGACGGGTGCAACAGGACAAGATGAAGATCCATCAAAGTCAGTAATGGTTCTTGCAGCTACAAACTTCCCATGGGACATTGATGAAGCCTTACGAAGACGTCTTGAAAAACGAGTATATATACCACTGCCAAATGGTATGTATTTTTAATTTTTAAATGAAGAGTTTCAGGGGTTTTCTGTTTGTATAATATATGCGTAGGCTATAAGTTCAATTTATTTCATGTCCATTTTACTCTTTTGAACATGCTTGAAACCCGTTCGAAAAGGTGCATACGTATTCATTCCTTGCCACCTTTACATATCCTGAACATTTTCGTTCACTTATTTCCTCTCTTATGCCTTTTTGTCTATTTTAGTTTCTCTATATTTATGTGTGCTTTTTAGAAATGTGAAGACTTGAACTAATGCTCTTCTTCTCTGCTAAACTGGTAAATGATTTTCTACCTGTTCTGCACTGACTTCTTTTGCTAAATAGCAATTGTCTTATGTATATCTGTATAAACTTAAACTGACTTAAACTGATAATCTGGTAGTAGTAGAGACATCATTTACGACCAATTTGTATAACTGTACCTTACAGTAGATGATTTCATGTGATTAATACTTTACGTATGAAAACTATAAAACGTGCATTTCAGGCTCCGACATTATAAAATGATTGACTTAATCTCCATACAACTAATCTTTATGCTAGAATTATTTCTAAGGTCTGGAAAGCTTTGTGTGCTGATGGGAGTGTGTAAACGGCCGCTCACAACGTGAAAGTTGATTTCCTCTTGAAATAGAAGCAGTACTAGTGTTGCTTAACCACACAGCCCAGAGGACAACTGCTTAAACTCAGTCGTACACGGAGTATTTCAATTGGTTTATGAGAGTTGTGTATGTTTGAAAGTTTTACCGCTACCTATGGACCGTCGCAAGGTAAGTCAGGATCCATAATTTTCTGGGTCAACCTTTTATAACTCCCTTCCCAGATCACAGAGACAGGCTCTCTGGTCATCTTAGGAAAACACTTTGGTGCTGTACAACTCTATTCAGCAGCAGTACGACTTCACCCACAGACGACCCTCCCCCCCCCCCAACTTCGAGTAGACGACGTAGACTATGACGGTAACTGCTTTTAGTTTAATTGCCATCCAAACGCCCTTACTGGCATGGTAGGACCTGCAGAAACACTAGTTCCAACCAGTGTAGTTCGTTAGATCACTCGGATATGCAATTCCTGACCACCACGTCAAGATATCAGCTATCTATCAGAATTCTTCGGCTACAAAGACCGACTAACGAAATCAGCGTGAAGCTCTGCGTATTAATGCATCAGTTTGACTTGTCACAGTGTTCAACCTCAATCATAAAATAGGAGAGCATAAATGTGTGTGATGATATTATAGATATTGTTCCCTTGGGTTCCTAGTGGAACATAGGGCTTCAACTGCATACCTCCACTTGCTTCTGCCTTCTGCTGTACTTTTCACTTGCATCCATGTTAGTCCATACTGTTTCAACTCTTCTTCATACGATCTCTTCCATGTCACCCTTGGACGTCCCACTCGCCGCTTCCCTTTCGGGTTCCACTCGAGTGTTGGCCTGACGCACAATGTCACCCAGCGGCCTCTTCAGCGAGTGTCCAATCCATCTCCACTTTCTCCTGCATATTTGTTGAGCGATTGGTTCTTGTTTTGCTTGTTCCCATAGTCCCTTGTTGGTTATTCTTTCCGGCCATCTGATCTTGAGTATATAACGAAGACAGCTGTTGATAAGGGTCTGCAACCTGTTGAAAATATTCTTGGTGACTCGCCAAGTTTCTGATCTGTATAGAAGAACTGACTTGATATCGTTTTTATTGAAAATCCGAATTTTGTTGTTGATACTGAGTGACGAAGATTTCCAGATTGGTTTCAGGTTGATGAATGTGTTTCTCGCCTTCCCGATTCTCGATTTGACATCCTCGTCCGTTCCTCCTGTAGTTGAGACAATGCTCCCTAGATAAGCGAAAGAAGTAACCTCTTTCAAATCCCTCCTGTTGATGGTGATTGGCGCTGGATGTTGTTGCTGCTGCTGTTGGTGGTGTTGGTTATTTTCATAACCTCCGTCTCGTCTATGTTCACCTGGAGTCCTGTCTTTGCTGATTCTTCGACCAGTTTGTCGGTTTTCGCTTGTAAGTCTTCGATCTTGTATGACATCAAACATAAATCATCCACGCGCGAAATCCAGGTCTTCTAGGTTCTTCACGTCGGTCCAGGATATCCCTGTCTCCTCGTTTCCCACTGTCTGACGCATAATCCAGTCCACCACAATTAGGAATATCATTGGTGATAACAAGCACCCTTGTCTGACTCCTGTGTTTACTCCAAACGCCTCTCTGAGTTTTCCGTTGTGGATCACTTGACATGTGCCGTTGTCGTACAGCTGTTGAATAAGGTTGATGAACATGTCAGGTACGCCGTAGTACTCGAGTAGTTTCCAAATTACTTCGCGGTCAACGCTGTCGAAGGCCTTCTCAAAGTCTATGAAGGAAGTTGAGGTATACGTTTGATTGCCATTCCATGCTTTGTTCGATGATGATGCGTAGAGTTGCAATTTGGTCAGAACATGATTTGGCTTTCCTGAATCCAGCTTGTTCTGGTCGGAGTTCTGTATCCAGTGCGTCCTTTATTCTCTCCAGGATGATGCGACTCAGGAGTTTACTTGGCGTCGACAGGAGCATGATTCCTCGCCAGTTCTTGCAGAGTCCTAAGTCGCCCTTCTTTGGTAGTTTCACGAGGTAACCTTTCCTCCAGTCAGTAGGCACCTTTCCCTCCTTCCAGACCTTTTTCCATTAATGGAGTCAGCATATCTGCTGTCGTTTCTGGGTCCGCTTTCCGTGCCTCCGGGGGTATTCCATCTGGTCCAGCTGCTTTTCCAGCTTTCAGAAGCTTGATTGCATTCATGACTTCAGTTTTCGTTGGAGGATTAGTGTCAACTTGCAGTTGTGTACGTGCTGTTGTTGGTATTTCTGGACGGGTTGTATCTGGTGGTCGGTTCAAGAGTCTTTTGAAGTGGTCCGCCCATTGTTTAATCTATCTTTCTTCTTTGGTAATTGGGTTCCCTTGGCTGTCTTTCATAGGTTTCACTTGTGTTGATCCCTTCCCGGATAGAGACTTGGTTATCTGATATAGTGTCCTTAGGTCCCTTTATCCTGCTGCCTTCTCAGCTTCAGTGGCCAGATTGTCGTAGAATTGTCTTTTTTCCTCCCTGGCACTCTTCTTCACTTCTTTGTCCAGTGCTGTGTAAGTTGAGCTCAGCGTCTCTTTCTCTTGTCTGTCTTTGGATTGAATCATTTTCTCTTTCACCATTCTCCTCTCCTCTATTAGCTTCCAAGTGTCCGTTGAGAGCCATTCCTTGTCTTGTTTCTTATTTCTTCCTAAAACCGTTGAACACGTTTCGTTGAAAATTACCTTCAGAGAGTTCCAATGGTCTTCCACGGATGATTCCTCAGTGGTGCCACGTAGTGTTTCCCCCTTTGCTCTGACAGTTGCAGTGAAAATGTCCTGTGTGACTGTGTCCTTCAGCTTTTGCGTGTTGAACTTGCATTGTGGCCTATCCCCAGGTATCCTCGAGACTTTCAGCTTCACCTTGAAAGTCCCTTGTACTAGATAGTGGTCTGAACCCACATCTGCTCCTCTCCTCGATCTTGTGTCCAGTAGGCTCCGTCTCCACTTCCTTGAGATTGAAATGAAGTCTATCTGGTTTTTGGTGTGTCCATCTGGTGAAATCCATGTCGCCTTGTGTATGTCCTTGTGTTTGAACACACTGCCACCAATCACCAAATCATTGAAGGCGCAGAAGTCTGAGAAAAGTTCACCATTGTCGCTCGTTTCACCGAGGGCCTCGCGACCCATGGGGAGTTCTCTTCCTGTATTGTCTCCTCCCAGCTTCGCATTCATATCACCCATCAGGATTTTGATATCGCTCTTTGGGACGTTGTCCATTACTGTTTGTAGTTGACTGTAGAAATCCTCCTTCTTCTGATGTTCTGAGACGTTTGTAGGCGCATAGCATTGAATGGTTGTAACCTTCTTTCCTTTTGAGTTGAACCTGGCTGTCATTATCCTGGAGGAGATTGGTTCGCACTGCATGAGAGCTTTAGCTGCTGTTGGTGACATCATGATGGCCACTCCCTCGGTGTGCTCGTGATTGTCCTCTGGGTGACCGGAGTAGATTATTGTCTCTCCAGTTGATAGTTGGCTCCTTCCACATCCGTTCCATCTGCTCTCGCAGATTCCCAACACTTCTGTTTTATGTCTCCTCATTTCTGCGGCTACCTGAGCAGCTTTTCCAGTTTCGTACATTGTACAAATATTCCACGTCCCCATCCTTATTTTTGCTTTCATCGAAAGAAGGCACATCGGCTGACTGGCTTCCCGAAGGCTTTCACCAGCCTGCGTCATTCACTTCCCCGATTCCAGCGAAAAATAAGGTTATTGTTTGTTATTTTTAGAATTTTTAATATTTTTGTGCGTTGAAGTTTTTGTAGCAGTTTGGTTACGTTTTTAGGGTGGAGTTGCTAGCACCACGCCCCAACCCTCCCTCTTTATCCGGGCTTGGGGCCGGCTAGGAAACTAGTGAGGTAGTAATCTAGGCAAGGTTGTGTGATATTACAGCGGACAAATTCGGTTATAAAGAACAGAACAGTTAAATGAAGATTCATAAATATTTTCGGATGATGAAAAATGAATATATCTACCCTGTTGCTGTAATCGATTTTGAGTCTTCACAATGAGTCTCCAGTCGTTGATTATTAACATGCCGAGGATTTCATTCAGGCGGTCATGAGGCTTCACAATTTCTTTACTACTTATAATGTTACTTCGCTTAATGAGAGCAGATGTGCTAAGACACTTATAATCCAACTCAAAGAATGCAGCATCATCGAAATGTAACAGATATCTCGTAGCGTAAATTTTCATTTGTAAAGATTTGGTTGTAATTTAGGAGAGATATTTTCCAGTTAACCTGTTTTTTCTTACCTGTCAATCTATTTCTTTTTCGTTATTCGTAGTAGTCGCACGTAAAACTCTTCTGCAGATCAACTTAAAAGATGTTCCATTAGCTGATGATGTAGACTTGGATAAGATAGCTGAACAGTTAGATGGTTATTCTGGCGCAGATATAACAAATGTGTGCAGGTAACACTGATTAACTATTATTGCTTATCATCTGTCTTAACATTATTTACCATAAGCTATTGTTTTTTATTTTCTCAAACTTTTTTCTAACATTATCTCCTATAAGAGGTAAAGTAATCTTGTGTTGATATCGTTGTCTATAGAGCCAGTGATCCTCAGAAACCTCAACCATAACCATCCTGTTAAGTTAACCCCTCATCTTTAAATTTTATAATTTATAGTTCGATTAAGTGATTCGAACGTAACTTCCCTCCATGTCACCAGCTGATGTGTAGTTAAACCCTTGTGCTGTTATTGTACAATCTAGAACTTCATTATCTTGCCATCAAGCTTATAAAAATAAGCTTTTTTAATTTCTTCGCGTTCCAAGTGAAACCTAGGGCTTCAAGCACCTTAAAGTTTCAGTAGCGGTGTTGGTTTCATGGGGTGGGGTTCCTGGCCACACTCCCAACCTTCCCTCTCTACCAGGGGTTTCGGAATGCTTTATGTTAAACAGTAGAATTATGCAAAGTAAATCAAACAACTGTTTACTCCTCATGATGTGATTGTGAATGGGACCTCCCCCCCTCTTCACGCGGAGAGGGTGTTGCTCACAAAAGTAAAAGGGCGAGTGCAAACATCTGGTGCTTACAACCTGACTGATAGATATGCAGATAGATCTACGTAGGGGAGCTGGCAACACCTGATTCCAAATCTGTGGTGTACATAGCCTCTGGAATCCTGAAAGATCGAGGCGTTTGAACCTGTCTTGGCCACCGGCAACCATGAAAACGCGGCTCCACTGCCGTGTGAGTCAGACTTCAAGCCAAAGGCTCGGAGTGGTATTTTAAGATAGCCACCTCCTTCGATCTGGGTGTCCGAGCAGTATTTCAGTCTTCATGGGAGATATGAGATTTCTTGTGGCGCATCTCTTGGTGCCGAGTTCCTATCTTACACTGATAAGAATATCCCTTTTTGGAGCCAAGAGATGAAAATTCAACCTCACATATTTGATTCCCTTTGGTGGCTTTTAAGACTAGGATTACTGTACTTATTGAGTTGTCTGCTGGAAAATGTTTCTTGTAATAACTATTACATTATTCTTATTATTATCAATGTTTTCATTAATGCCTTTAATTCCAAGTAGGATATATGGCTTCAACAGGACACTTCCATTTCACTGTGTTCTCTACAGTCTTTTTCATTTGGCTCCACGACTGTCCATGAGCTTTCATTCCCTCTTCACATAGTCTGATCCATGTCACCTTCAGACCTCCTACTAGTTTCTTCTCATTCGAGCGCCTACTTTGCGTGTGATGTCACTTGATGGTCTCCGATCCACCTCCATTTCCTTCGGCGTATTTGTTAGGCAGTAGGTTCTAGGCTGGTTGATTTTCAGAGTTACTTTTTGTGTTTATCCTTTCTGACCATCTGATCTTCAATATTGAGCTAAGGCAAGCGTTAATGCAAGTCTGCTGCAAGTTGTTTGGAATGGTCCTGGTGACGCACCATATAGAAGCACCGAGTGATGTGACATTAGTGCTAAAAATCCGAATCTTGTTCTTTATGTTGAGTGCAGTAGATTTTCAGACTCATTTCAGATTATTGCAGCTTTGTTTTGTCTTTCTCATTCTCACTGACTTTGCATTTTCATTCCTTCTGTTGAAACGATGCTGCCTAGATGAGTGGAAGATACGAACTCCAGATTTTTTCCATAGTGATTAGTGCTTTTTGTTGTTGGTTGGTTGCTTATCTTCATCATCTCTGTCTTCTCCATCTGCCTCCTCTCCCAACTTGTTGGTTTTCGTCTATTGATCTTCGAGACATATATTTTGTCTGTGTGTGTATCGTTTTCAAAACTATTTCTCGGTGTTTTTTCGCCTAATTGAAATATCTCTCTCTGTCTCCGTATTATTGTACTGTATACATTATTTTACAATTTCAGAGATGCATCAATGATGTCGATGCGACGAGCTATTGAAGGTCTTTCAGTTGAACAAATTAAAGGTCTTAATACTGCTACACTGAATCAACCAACACAGATGGCTGATTTTGAAGAAGCTATAAATCGTGTATGCAGATCTGTTTCAGCCGGTGATGTTGAACGTTACGAGAAGTGGATGGCTGAGTTTGGTGCAACATAAAGTTGAAGTATTAAATATTCTATCTATCTCTCTCTCTGTCTTTAAAATCTGCCTTTGATGTTTGCCTAATGTTTTCTTTTTATGTCAAGCAAAATAATATGCAAATTCGATAAACAGTATATTGTTGTGTCTTTTCAGAGATGTGTTGTGAGCAGTTTATTTCTTTCTTGATACTTTATATAACTTTTATCAATAATGCATTAAATAAGTTGAAGAGTTTTATGTTTTAAATAACTGGGCATTTGAGGCATTTAGCCTTATATATATATATAGTAATACTAATGATATTAATACTATTACCATTAAACTTTAACTCTACATTTCACATATCACCCTGCATAGAAATATATAATATATAATTCAATGAAAAGCATACACCTTTTTAAATTTGTTTAAAATTAGGTTATTTTATAAACACTGATGGTTTCGGATATATATATTGTCAGCATAGGGTGTTGATTAGTAAAATGTTGTTGTACTTCTATTCGATCAATTGCTTGAAGAAGAGAGAACATATGTCGAATTTAGACAAAATACGCAGTGAAAATGAGACATAAAACAATTGGTTCAGTGAAGAAGCTTTTTTCGCTGTTTATTCACATGCATGTACAACTTATTTTTTTTCAAAAGAGTACACTAATCAAAAAAATAAATTGTTACAAATAAGCACAGTCACTAATACTAAAAAACACGAAGAGATGAATGACGGTGATAAATTTGTGGCGTGTGTTACTGATATGATTTATAAGTAGTATATAGATACAAATATAAATATGTACACCATCTCCAAGAATATCGAATAGCGCAGAGATGGATTTAGTGGTGAAGAGAGAGGGAATGAACGATGTTTGTGAAATAACATCGACGACAAAAAATAGAATACGTAAGACAAAGCACAATACCGAAGATATGTGCAAATTGTGATTCTAATATGTGGTAGATGTGCGTCGGTGCTATAGCGGTTAGGACGCTCGCCGACCATGCACATGGTCCGGGGTTCGATCACCGGCCGACGCACTCCTTTACCTCGCTGAGCCAGAAATATTGTTGCTAAAGGGGAAAGGTTGGGCATGAGGCTAGCAACCCCATCCTGTAAAATAAACACTGCTACAGAAACTTCAAGCCACTAGCTTGAAGCTCTATGTTCCACTGGGGAACGTGAAGGAAAAAAATATGTGGTAGATGTATTTTGTCAATATCTGTACCTTGAATGGTCAATAAATAATTCTGTCACCAAATTATCTTGTGTCAGACCGTTACAAAGTCACCTATTGATATAAATTTCTTAATAAATGAATCGTAGAAGACCGATAACGCCCATATAGGACAATTCAGTGGAGAAAATTTGATTTTCCGACGAATTCATCTTTGAAGGTTTACAATCTTAAACCTCTTTCTACTTGATATAAGTATAAAGCTTGGACACTGTGGTAGAGTATAACTCTATCATGGATAAGATTTTATTTTTTTATTTTATCCTTTTTGTTTGCTTCTGTGTCCAATAAGTAATTCACTGTTATCCCGTCCACGGTTTTCTACCGTTTACTTAACTAATTTTCTCTCAGCTTCACAAAAGTCAGGTGGACAATAAACCACCTTGTCGGATTTCAAACCCTTATTTATATTATGTTTGTAATGGTTGCATACTTTCTAATTATCTTTAGAAGCCACTGCTGATTAATTGAATCAGTTATATCCAAAGGAAACTCTGATGAACTAATCTCCCAGAACTCCGTAAATTGCGAATTAATTTGCGAAATTGATAACTGAGAATTTGACCTTTGATATCATGAGTGATTCCCAGGTAGCTGGCAAAAAACGTGGTGGTTTCAACTGATTCGGCCTTCTGAGCTGAGTAAACCAAGTACTCTTTTCAGCGATATCATTCTCAAGCTGTACAAACCGCAAATTTATTGTAATTTTTCTTGGCAACAAAAGGAATATTTCCAAGGATGTGTTAATGTAATTGTTAATTTTTGACAACAAATTACGTAATTTAGAAGGCGTTAATCAGTTAGAAACTGAAATAAAGTTACAAAAGTAGGTTGGGTGATGTAATCTAATTGTTAGGGTTCAATGAAAAATAAATGAGAGTTAAGTTAATAATCTCAGTAGAATTCACTTGAAAATGAATGAGAGTTAAGTTAACAAGCTGAGTAGAATTCACTTAAAAATAAACGAAAATGGAGTTAGCAACAATCGTCATGAGGGTAGAGATTTAATAGAGGGTGGGGGTAGAAAATAATGCAATTAAGAAATAGACAAACAAAGAAGAAAGAGTGAAGACAAAATTACGTATTTGGTGTTGAGAAAGATCAGGACCATTGTAGATTTAGTGACTGAACAAACTTCTTTTGTATGCAGAGTTCAGGATTCAATATGTGAATTGCCATTGCTTCTGCAGTTTGAAGAAGTTTAATTCGTACTCTTTTGGCAAGATTCCCACGTATTGTGTAGATAACTGAGAAGTTGTTTTGTGGGTTTGCTTGGTGTCTGGACTCGATCAAGTGTTCTAGGATAGAGCTGTGGCGGGGGGATCTTCTTTCTCCTTTATAAAACCATGAAGGTAAGTGTTCGCTGATTGGTTTGGACAGCAAACGCTGTGTACGGCCGACGTACCTAGCTTCACATGAGCAGGTGAATTGGTAGATACACATTCATGAGGCCCCCAGTGGAAGCTTATCCTTCACGTTCGTGCGAATCATTGGTTTCGTAGAGAAAGTTAGTCTGAGTTCAGCTGAAAAGAAGGTTTTCTTCAGTGAACGGCACATGCGGTTTCTCAGTATTTCTGCTGAAGAATTTCCGTTGAATTGTAGATTCAAATAGAGAAGTTTCTTGGGAGCAGTAAGCATGGACGGTTTTTGTGTTTTGGGCTTCATGGCTTTTGTGATGAAACGTTCCGGGTAACCGTTTTCAAGGAGGATTCTTTTCAGGGTCTTCAGCTCCTCTTCTATAGTTTCCGGACTGCAAATGTTGCGGATTCTGTGAGTCAGTGAGCGGATTAGATTTCGTTTTGTATATAGAGGCACCCAACTGTGAAAGCTGATGAGTTGTCCATTCCATGTCGGTTTTCTGTGAATGGATCTTCTGAGTGTCCCCTCTTGTTCGCGTCTTGCTAGTCGCACGTCCAGAAAAGATATTGTTGCGTTGGACTCCTTCTCTAGTGTGAACTGGATTGCTGGATGGCAACTGTTGAAGAAGTCCAATATGTTCTCCAAATTTTCCTCATTAGTGGCGATAATAAAAGTATCGTCCACGTATCTCTTGTAGAACCCGAATTTATCTATTATCTTCTTTAGGTGTGTACTTCTACCTCCACCCTCTATTAAATCTCTACCCTCATGACGATTGTTGCTAACTCCATTTTCGTTTATTTTTAAGTGAATTCTACTCAGCTTGTTAACTTAACTCTCATTCATTTTCAAGTGAATTCTACTGAGATTATTAACTTAACTCTCATTTATTTTTCATTGAACCCTAACAATTAGATTACATCACCCAACCTACTTTTGTAACTTTATTTCAGTTTCTAACTGATTAACGCCTTCTAAATTACGTAATTTGTTGTCAAAAATTAACAATTACATTAACACATCCTTGGAAATATTCCTTTTGTTGCCAAGAAAAATTACAATAAATTTGCGGTTTGTACAGCTTGAGAATGATATCGCCGAAAAGAGTAACTCTTTGCTGAACGCCTTTTCTTTTCTATGTCTGAATGGGAATTTTCAAATTACTAAACCAAGTACATCAATGATGAACTTAGCTGCGAAGGAGGTGAATGGCCCTCCAGTATTGTTTCCTTTAGTTCCTAGAGGAATATGGGGCACCAGCCACACATGTCCATTGTGTTTGGTTCTCTGCCAACGTTTTCACCTGGCTCCACATCTGCCCACATGCTTTCATCTCCTCTTCGCATGACAGTATTGAGATCGCTTTGATCTGGTTAGCAAGCACTACTGGTTAATATGAGTAGTGTGTAACTATTCATCTCAGTTAATCAGGAGTAAATAATTTTATGCATTCACGCTTAGTTACTTGATTACTAGTTATGTTATCAAACAGATCACCACTATAATAACTACATTAAAGTGGCCTTCAGGGTATAAAGATGACCAATCAGTCTCAAAAATATCATATTTAGTGGACACCTCATTAGTAATGTAGAACCCGAATTGGGAACTTTGAGTAGTGGGTAGTCCGACGGTAATGTGAAAAAGACTATGCGATGAGGAAATGAGAGACTATGGAAAGTCATGGGGCCTTCTAAAGGGGACTGTAGAGGATAGCATGAAGTGGAGATGTGGTGTTGAAGCCCTGTGTTCTACTCGGAACCCAAAGGAACAATAATAATAGATAATAATCATTAGTAACATATGAAATGGCACCACTTATCGTGCAAATATAATATGGCTTACAGGTATTACAACAACAGCATATTTTGTCAAGAATGGTTTGTGAAATCTTTCCAAAAGTAGGTAGATCTAACAATACAGAAGTTGAGCAAAATATAGGTGAAATATAATATTAACACTAGGACTTTTAATTATTGAGAAAATGCCTATAAAACAGTATGTTGCAAATAATCGGTTCTTGGAGGGGCAAAGAAGTTTTACGGAGAAGGAATATTGTTTGTCAGAATATTCATGCTCCGTTACTCCTAAGCAAGCTTATTTAATATACCATAACAGGTTATAAAAATATACTATACTTTAACTATAGAAATAATATATCAGAACTAGTATTATTTTGAGATTTTTTGAACGAGTATCTTAGTGCTTTCATTTCTGTGTGTTTTAATCGCCTGCGCAAAAACTTTTTGAAGCAATTAAATAGTCATTTCCGTGAGCCTGAAGTGCACTATCTTTTGGCTGGTAAATTAATTAAATGTTCACACCAATATTTTATTTATGCTTCATTTAATACCTAAGCTTTAAAATGCGATTTTGTTTCTCTTTCAAGTGGTGCCATACATAATAGCGAAAGTTCTTCAGTAGAAATATTCCTTCAAAATGTGTCACTGAAATCCTATTTCTTTTCCATATGTTGAATATCTTACTTTTGTATCAGGAAAGAAGAGTGCATATTTTCTATCTCATTAGTTCTCAACTAACCAGGTTTTGATTTCCTAAACTTGCAGTTTTAACTTTAGGAAAAGAAGAAGAATCTTTCTTGAAATTACTAAGTTTAGTGAAGTCAGCAACCAGCAGTAAAAACCTACTTATATAAATGTAAGATATCAGTTACTAGAGGTATTGTGAATGCCATACTACTCAGCAGATCGAATAATTAGAAGGATAGGTTTTTATTGACTGTGCTGATCATTAGTGATCTCCGAATTAGAATCACAGTATCGAGGCTTA